TTGCCACGATGGGCTAACTGACAGGACCTCATGGTCATCTTATGAATTTCTACTAGTATCCCGCCAGCGTAAATACAGGCGGAAACAACATGCCTTTTATAAAAAAAATACCAACAAGATCACAGCGTCAGTTTGGCTGGAAGAGATCTCTTTCAGATAAGCCCACTCTTGCTCACATTATTTTTATATTCGTACTGTTTTTAGTTACAAATGCAATAAATAGTATAACCACACAAATGTCTAAAATTGGTACTAGATGGCGCTGACTTTATTATAATCATGATTATACAAATGTTTGCATCGTGCGAGGATTCGAATCGGTGAAAATTATAAGTAAGACAGTTTGGTTAATAATGAATCGTTCATCTGTCTAACTAATACTGAAGCTCACAATCTGTATACTAGTCCGTGAACCTAAACAGTATATTACCAAACGTACTTGACAAGTTCACTCGTTACGCAGTCAACCTGGAATATTTATGAATAGTTACGCAACATTGAAAAACAAAACATTCATTTTTTAAAGTTATATCACAAATCAATAGATCTATACGAATTTTATAAATGCCTTTCGCATTGTTTATTCTATTCGTTTGTACAGTACAAAATGGCTGCAAGTATATTAGTAAAATTTACAATGGAGATATATCAGGTATATACAATATATATATTTTGCTGCAGATAAACTGCCGAACATTTTTACGACTTGGTGTACATATGCTTTTTTATGTATAAAATTCGTTGATACAAACAACTCATAATTTCTAGAATTGTAGAGTTTTTTACCTTAATAATGATACTACATTTCTTCCATTTCTTCTCTACTTTAAAATGAAATCTCTCTCTCCGTTTACTTATTCTAAACATAATAAATGCTGTTATTAAACCAGACGAAACTGAAATAGATCACTGCTAACCAAATAGCTATAATATGTTTATGCATGAATTTATCCTATGCATACTATATATTACCTATAAGGGACTTCGTAAAGGATGGAATGAAGATCTCTATGTATCGAAATAGATCGGGAAAGACAGTCTAAACTAATATTATAAAAAGAAAACAATTGAATACTTGTTATCAATAAATGTAAGAAACATTTGGTAGTTATTGTGAATTTTTCACCTATGGAAAGTAACATCAGCTAGCAACGTGAGTGGGCGGCCAGCGTCGTGGTATAAAGCTAGCAAATGCTTGTAATTTTTTTTTATTACACTAATGCACATTTAACCCTTGAAATTTGGCATCATCAGCATTGTCTTGCTTTAATCCTATCATTGGGGTCTATAATTTTCTTCCACTGCCAATAGTAGCATTAAAAGGCTGTAACGAATACCCAAATACATTTTTATATATTTTTTTTGTAACATTCCATGTAACATTTTCATAAAATATCACCGTTTGCTATTTGTTAAAAATATTTTAGCAATATTTATTGAAAAAACAAAAAGTAAGTTTCTTGCTCATGGTTCTGGTGATGACTCTAGAGTTCCACCATTCGATACCTAGGTATAGAATGGTGTTATAATCAGAAAAATATGACTAAAAGTGCTTATATTACAATTTTAATAAAGATTATTTCTATTTACTGTGAATTGTCTCTATTTTTTCCTCTATAAAACTCATTACCTCTCACTCATCAGGTATAATACAACACCACTAGGTATAATACTTCCACAACAGCCCCATAGACTACATTTTATCCTAATCATAATCACTCTATCATCATATATTGATATTATGAATTGGTATTCTACATTTTAATATGCCTACATAGACACAGACCTACAGATATATACACGTACATAGGCTAAGTCCATGTCTGCAACAGGGGTGTCCTTTTGTGAATCCACCCTTTGGCATGGTAACCGTTCTCGTCGCAATAACCCTCGCTGCAAATGTAATAATTAGGGTTTGCTGTACACTGATGTACACGCTCATATAACGAGATAAATCTCGTTATTGATGATTTCAGTTATTCATGGATGATTTGAGTACCAATGAGCGTATGTTATATAGCTTAAAGCCTTCCTCGACAAATTGACTATAGAATAATAGAATAAATTGACCAACACAATATATTTATACAGTGAATTAACTCAGTGTGATTGCTATCAATACGGCTACTATTCTAAATTAATAACAATCCCATCCCCACATATTACCGTCAATGGGGCGAATAAAATCTATATTATTGTACTAGTAGTACTAAGGGGGAGGCACTTAGTCAATTATTTAGTTAATCATTCTTTTTGGGTACCTGACCATGGCAGATAAACTAACGTCCCAACTGATGATAATTGGTAACAATCGTTATATTTATAGAACAGGTCTACACCTACTACTACTTTTCTCCGTAATTTCATAATTTACAAAGTAACCTGTTTGGCAGCATAAACTTCTAAGACACAGGTACCTGAGGTGTCCATGTCTCTCTCTAGGTTAAATTAGGTGTATTGATGAAGTAGACTAAGTACCTGATAATACCTGGTAAAAAAATCGAACGAATTTAAAACGAATAACGAAATCCTTCATCGATTTCGTTTCATTCGTATATTCGCTTTTTCAAACGTTATACCGTTTACTACGCTCAAGAATGTAACCCGTCTTTAAGTTACTCTTTAACGAGATGTCATGTAATTAAAAGATATATGAATTCAGAGCTAGAATAAATATTTTTATTTTAACCCACGACAATTTACACAGCTCCATCTAATACCATGGCAAGCAAGATTTTAGCGTTATAGGTACTAAACAAGTGATACAAATGAATACTTTTTTAATTCTTATAAGGTATAATTATAGAAAACACTCAGACCTCCACAAAGAAATATACTGCACATTTGCATCGTGCGAGTAATCAAACCAGCGACCATTCGAAGTAAGATTGTGTGCCAAAGACCACCGATGCCGTAAATTTATGTATGGTGTAGTACACAGGAGTACATGTTACACAATTTTATCCTTTATTTGAGTATACAAAAGTGTATATATATAGTAACCATCTAAAAGTAGGTATGATACAGAAATACCCAGATCCAAAGACAACATGCGTTTCAAAATGATGCCCCTAAATCCTGTTCATAGGTAGATCCTGGCTGAATGACTATCGACAAAAAACCACGATAAATACTGTAATACCACATGACCTCAGTAAATATGTTACGTACCAAAATGTCTATTGCATAGACTTCTTTGTCTATGGTTAGGTTAGACGCCGAACTGCATTATTGTTGTTGTTGAATTAAATCGTCTATATCATGATCAGTAATGATAGCCTCATTCATAACGCCAGATGTGCCGCCACTCGCCGATTAAGGGCAGATAGAGGCGAGCGGCACTTTGCCAACGTTGGAAGTTATTTAAGCCGTAGTTTGGCGAACGAAATGAAGAAAGATATCTGTTATTTTATTATTCCAATCAGTCATTACATCGTCTCACAGTCATAACCGTAGAAGCAGAACAGTCTTAAATATAAAATAAGTAAATACGTAATTATATACATTTTTAAAGTAATAATCAAGATAAGATTTAAAAATATAATAAGTAATGTACAATAAGTATAATTTTAAATATAAAAACATATAAAATTGCAATAATTGTATACCTCTAATTCAAATATTGCGTGTGAAGCAAGCTGCCACCGTGACTTAGAAATTTGACAGAGGTACCTATGTGTATATAGCTCCACCTGTACTGTATACATTTCAAAAATAAAATATTCTACACATATATTCCATACAGTAAAGTAACGTAAATTAGTTTTAAAACCATTTTTAGTAAAATCATTAAGTGTTAACAATTTAAAAATATATTAGAAATATGGTTAACATGAATAAAAATGAAGTTACTAAAACAAATAGAAATATAGATTTCAAACCAAATTGTATAACAGAAAGATGAGGTCAATTCAGTAATGAAGCTGTAAATACCAGCTAAGCTAAATAACATTATAAAATTTCTAAATTGAAAAACCCCATTCTATAGATTACAGATGGGGTTTTTCAATAAGGATATAGGATATTTTTCAAAAAGATTTGCTAAAAGTTGGCAATATGCATGCGACAAAGTTGGTGTTTCATGCATCCATAGGCAATGGCAGCCATTTATCATGAAATAGGTTACGGCCCATATGCCATATTTGATTGCCACCTGTTGCTTGTAAAACAGTTGTCATACAACAAAAATAATACTTAATCCTCAACAATTCACATCAAGCCATCTATTCCCAAACTAAGCAGAGCTTGTGGTATTCTCATAAACTTGAATTACTAACTTAATTCAAATAAACTTAAATTGTTTTTATATCAATATATAGCCCCTGTGGTCTACTAGCATACATACAAATGTTTTAAAACGAAACATTTACTTGTATGATTGTTTATATTGGTTAGGGATTCTTCTATGCATATATACAAAATTTATTTAAGTATCTAGTACCCATAACACAAGCACTACTTAACTTGGGACTAGATGGCACATTCTGAACTATTCTGGTTTAATAAATATATCATAACACCTTATGTAGATATCAATACATGATTTGCATTGTGCAGGACTTCATAAAGCATGTTTTTTTTTAAATTCTTGTATTACAAGTTATTTATTGGTATGCATACAAACACCTTTTCAAAAATTTTGTATTTAAATACCGAACTAATAAATATTAAAAAATACCGGACTACTAATTTTGTTTTATAGTGTAATATTGGTTAATAAATTAATACTATTATTCTAATAAAAATAGAAAATTATGAAACAGTATAAAAGTATGTTTATTTATAGATTGAAGAAGTAGTTGCTGTCTTTGTTTTTAAATTATTTAAGTTTTAAAAATATGTCACAAAATTATTATATATATTATGTATATTTTTTTTCTGAAGTTATAATTTTTTTATTGATAATAATATTTATTCGCTGTTCTTAAGCAGTTAATATAATAAATAAAGTAAGTAAAATAACAATAAGGTATAGCAATAAAGTACTGAAAGATACTTACTGGTCGCTGCTTGTTGTATCTGTTTGATTCTGTAGATCGTCCATCTCTCCGTATACAGCATGGAAACTTCAAGAAGCAATTTATTTTGCAGATTTTCCAACACTACAAAGTCCACAGGTTAAATGTAAACCCTACAAATTAATTTAAATACGTTTACTGTTTATATTGTAAACACTTAAGTTATTAGAGCACCAATAATATTTTTAAAATCCTATATTAATGACGGCGACGCGTAAAATTAAACGTATTAAGTAATTATAAATTGGTTAAAATGTACACGAAAGTAGCAAAATATAATTATTCAGTCTATTTATGTCTATGTGTGTGTTGTAAATAATCAGTTGAATGAATTCACTACGTCAATCAATGTCAAATATGTCAAACCTACTGTCTAATAAGTTAACTGTCAAAACAATTACTTATTGCTGCGTTCCTTTTCAACTATTCAAAATCTTTTATTATTTTAAATTTATTCGCTATAGCTGATTTTCTTTTAATTCTTAATACAATTCCATTTGGAACTATAGCCCCCAAACTGATAACTTTATTTCTATCATTTTTAAATTAACACGCAATATTTTCATACAATTCATACCCATTCATAGACCTTCAGTCATTATCGTTTCAGATCATCATAGCGTAACACGTGATATTGCGGAGAAGATCACAGTATACATAATATACATGTATTGAATTAAAATTAAACAGTTTGACTATGTAAAGAATCTGGATCTATGAATCGTTCACCAGCTTCAGGAAATTCATTTGGCGCAACGCTTTAGCGTTTGTACCTGGAATGTAAAGAAATTGATCCATTTTTCCAAAGACTAGGTACTGGCAATGAAAGGTTGATAGTTTACGAGAACACTAATATGAAAGAATCGTGTATGATATCAGATAAACCGTATATAAACCGATCCAGATGTATCTATAGCTAAGTCTGATGGGGTCATAAAAAAAAATTGTATTTTAAAACAACAAACAACCATATGATCGTTTCAAAGGTTCGCTTTCAATATATCGCTAAACTGAGCGATGGAAATCAAGCATAGAAGCTAGTCATAAGATCCCGTAAGGGTGCTAATCACCCTTACGGGGCCTTACTCTCTCGTCAAAAATTATGGGATCGTCACTCGTCAAAATTATGGGATCTAGATTACGATCTCTTGTCACATCCACAGTATAGCCCTGACCTGGCCTTCAGATTGCCGTATTATTTATTCCACTTACTCCTTAAATGGTAAAATTTTTAATGCCACTAATTCAAATTATGACACTATCTAAACATCGATGAAAATAGATGTGTAGATAGTGTCATATCGGACAGTACTTAACTAAATAAAGTTATATATAAAACATATTTTTCTTAATTATCATTCATATGCTAAAATCCGCAATCACTTAGTTGCCAACCCAATGTATAGAGATGTATTTATGTGTAACTACGTTCAATTGTATTGATGTAGCTCACCGTATGATCAATATCCGACATGTCTGAGTCACAATTGCTCAATAGACATCTCGCACGCTAAGATATTAGTGCATTGTGTATATGCTAGTCGGTCGGAGTGATTGAACTATTTTGTCCGACGCATTTCATACACCCACAGTATCTTAAACTGATAAAGATATACTTAGCACATTATGCTGCTGCTTTTGCTACGTATTTTCTTCTTGTTTTATGTACATTTAGGCTTCCCTCAAACCAATAAATATCTACTAATATTTCAGAGATGAGGGTATTGCTAAATGAGGACTAGGGATCTTATTGCTTTTAATATATTAAGTCAAAATACATATGGTCCGCCTGGAAACTATCGTGGTTACTGACACAACTGACCTGAGCTCATGATCATGCTATCATCCTCCACAAAATAAAAAAAAATATTATGTTGATATCCCCTTTAAAAAAAGATAGATTTATAATCAGTCCGATCGAGTGTCCAATAGATCCAGAGATTCTTCACACAAATACAAAGCAAATTATCATAATTTTATCAATTTGGCATATTATTATATTACTGTCTTAATAATAACAATACTCAGATATACAAGAGTAAGAGCCTCTTTCCAATTTCAAAATGATTTGGAGATTGAAATTTGGTTTCCAATTTCAAAATTAGTTTTATTACATTAGTAAAGCCACCGCACCATTATTATGAAATACCCTTTTATAATTTGTGTATTTAAACAAACATATTCAACCTCGTGCCCGAAGTTTCTATAAGGTATGTTTCCGTTTCTCGGTGGTCTAGCAGTCTAGCACACCGCTTTACGTCCGATGGTCGCGGATTCGATTCCTCGCGCGGCACAAACATTTGTATTCATGAGTATGATTGTATCGGTCTGGGTATTTTCTAGGTACAATATGTATGTATTAACGAAAAAAAAATTATCTATATATTTGTATCAGGTGTCTAGTACTCATAACACAAGCTTTAGCCAGCTTAACTTGGGTCTAGATGGCGCTGTGTGAATTGTCCTGAGATTTTTTTTTTTTAAAGTTCAACTCTTTATTCTTGTTCCTGCACATTGGTCGAAATAAAAAAAAAACAGCGAGTGTAGCGGAATCCTGGCCAATGATAGTTCTTTTTTTTTAAATAGTGCTGCCTGCTTCATCAGCCATATAATTAAGACAAAGCGAAATTAGGAGCTTATCAGCTTTTAGCTTATATTATGGGACAGTTTGTGCATTATAATTTGTGGTAGCTATATGTACCTATGTACATTGGTAGATATACCTACCACAAATTATAATGCAATGCAAAGCTATAATAAATAAATAAATAAGTAGAAACTTGACTGTAGAAAGACTGACGTAATTACTCTTATGATATCGTATCATATTGAAGCAATTACTCATAAATCCCTATTACTGTTTAATCGCAAGTAGTAGTGAAGAACAATCTGAGCAAAGTTCAAATTTATTGTTTCAATTTCAAAAACAGTAATTGGGGTCTAATTTGAACACTGGTGAATAATTGTTAGATAAAATAAAATAGAATAAGTTTGGCCTTGATTAGTTTAATTGGTATTTCATTTAAGAATAAGTTTAAATAGGTTTTACAAAGTTCAAATAGATAGTCTAATATCATGTAAAAGTTTATGAATAATAAATACAAAAACAGTTCATATTCCAGTACAATAACCAAACGTATTTGATATAATGTTTAATTTGCCTAAGTTTAATTTGACAATTTATGTAAATGCCATATAAATTGGAAAGTTCTACCAAAAAAATATTCAGAGCGATATGATTAACAAATTTTTTTTGGCAGATTATTCTAAAAAGTCTACGACCGATCTCTTTGGCACCCAATCTATCCTGAGTAGGTTAAGTAGTGGTAAGGAGTAAAACATGACATTACATCCTTAAATGAGACGATTTTGATTTAAGTTTTGATTGATAAAAAATAATGATAAAATTGTTTTGATTGACAAGAATCAAATACTTATAAGACGAAATGACATAAGCATAGGCAATGTAAAGATAAACAAAAAAAAAATAGTGGTCGTTCGAGATAAGGTGAATAAGGTTACGATCACCATCATTGTCAAATTCAACTAGCCTTATCAAGTATCGATTTGTTAACTGTAACAATCGGCCTGATTGGGTGCCAAATGAAGTCGTGCATAGACACCATTACATTCCAACTGGACTCGCCACACAGGTTTTTGGCAGTTAAAATATTGTGAATTTACTCTCCCATATATTTGCGAAGAGAGGATTGGTCGTCAAAATTAGTGACTTGATCTTAAAAAGAACCCTTGCTTTCAAAGCTTTAATATCCACTACCTACGGATGTTACTCACAATACATTTTTAATTTATAATTTTGTAAATTATAACCGTTTCATTGCTGTAAAAATTCATTCCATTTCTGTATTTTTTACAGGTTATTTCCATTTATGTCTATATTTTGTAATCGTCACCATAACTTTTCTGCAGTTTTTTTCCGACTGCCATACATAATTATCCGGCAGGATGCTTGGTTGCCAACATAATATCACAGTAAATATCCCATTATAATATCCTTCACTGTTCCAGCTGCAATACACATATTCAATTCCTTGTTATTATTACATTTCTAAATATTTTCTCATGCAAAAAGCAAACAAGTACAGTTGAATTATACATTTAATAATATAGTAAAGTATTAAACATTGTTTATATACCATGACCACGCTGATAGTACATTCATAACCAGCGATCTAGTAGTTTAAAGTAAAATTAAAAATATTTTCGCCCCTATAAATCTTAATCCCTTATTCATAAAAATCTTTGGCATAAATTGTTGTTATTGTTTTCATTCGAAGGAAATTAACAAAACAGTCCAATCTACAATGCATTTACGAATTTGAGTGTTTATGAATAAGGGAATAAGGCTGCTAGTTAACTGAATAGGTAAATACGTGGAATTAGACTAAGGTATATGTATAGCAATCGCGCGCTTCTACAAATATTTGTTTAAAATAAACTTGTTAATAGATTTTTCAAGAAGGTCCAACGCGGCCTAATTTTATATTCTATTGATTTTACTTTTCAAGTTTAAATAGTCACGAGTAAACGTCTTAAGACTCATACATACGTGTGTATGATAGTAAATAATACTTTAAGGTATTTTTGTGAAAAAGTGATTCATAACTATAAACGTATTTCCACGTTACTTTTCTATATACGCTTTATTGTGTGCAGTACTATAATTGTGGTCAAACTACCATATACCACTAGATATTCTACATAGAATTACATAATATCAGTGGCTAGTTCATGCTTATTCAATTGATCCAAAACTTTATAAATTTTATAATAATTGTGGGTATGAGATAGATAGATTAATAAACTTGTAATGGAATATTAAATATGGAATTCATAACTGTATAATCTGAACTGTATTATGCGGATAATAGATGACATTTTCAAAGAACTAAAATAATATTATTATTAATACTGAGAGATTACTAGAATAAATTGATGTAGTAATTATGTACGGAAATTCTTCTTTGAAAATTATGAACTACAGAGCATATTTTGATTTGACTAATTTATATAATAATCATTGACAAATGATATACGACATTATGACCAATAAACTATTTCTATCATGCATGAATAAAATACGATATTTATATGTGTGACATGTAACTTGTTATGTATTTTAGAAGAAAACAATTTTAGTGACATTATTTACTTGGAAACAGATACTATAGTCATGGACAAATAATATAAATTTATATTACGAGATACGACACAACAATAAAAATAATTTATAGCTTCCTAATTAGAAATATTGAGGTATTCATTAGCTTATTAAATATTAAGTATATGGGATCTTAAAAGAGAATATTTTTTACAAATCTATTGAAAAATGAGTTACGAGGCCGCTTGTGCGTATAAAGTAGGTATTATTCAAGAGTCTATACTTATTTATCTATTAAGTAACGAGGTTATATTATACAGGGTTACTGGAAACCTGACGTGAGCATGACAAATAAAAAAAACCCAACAATCTCGAAATTCATGAACTTTCGGCGGTCAAATTTCTTGCATTTGAGCTCCTCAATCTTGACGGAAACCCATCGAGTTCCCAGTCATCCTATATAAGGGACTAAAGACTGACCGGTGCATTTATAAAAAAATCTAACTACCTATCTACCTTATACACGATGTAATGTAATGAGTATAATATATGGAAGTCCATTGATAGTATTTCAAAAGACATTTAAAATAAAATCATCCTTATATATGGGGTTAAAGACTGACCGCTGCATTTACAGAGAATCTAAGTGCCTATCTAACTGATACATGGTCTAATTCAATGAGTATATTATCTGGAAGTCCATTGATAGGTTTCAAAAGACATGATAAAAAATAACCCTTGCACATAGGATTAAAGACTGACCGCTGCATTTACAGAGAATCTAAGTGCCTATCTAACTGATACATGGTCTAATTCAATGAGTATATTATCTGGAAGTCCATTGATAATATGTCAAGACATTATAAAATATTCACCCTTACATATGGGATTAAAGACTGACAGGTGAATTTATAGAGAACCTAACTGCCTATCTAACTCATACATGGTTTAAGGCAATGAGTATAATATATGGAAGTCCATAGATAGTATTTCAAAAGACATTATAAAATATTCACCCTTACATATGCTATTAAAGACTGACCGGTGAATGTATAGAGAATCTAACTGCCTATCTAACTTATATATGGTCTAATGTAATGAGTATAATATCTGGAAGTCCATTGATAGTATTTCATTCACTAATACAAGACATATACAAGACAATAAAAATTAACTGTTAGATATTAAATCAATCACTGATTGATTTATATGAAATACTAAACTATTGACCATTCCGTGTTGCATAAATATATGGATACAATACTAATCTGTTTTTTTTAAATTTACAGTACTTCCTAAGAATTATTAGTACAGAATTGAATTTATAAACACAGCATAGTATGTTAACTTATATTACTTGTTTAAATATATATGTACATAGTTCTCAGTTCTAATGAATATTTTTGGGTTTCATAATAATACACAGATTCATTTCATTTCAAGTGCTCAAATATTTCCAAAAACAACAGCTTCATAGTTCTACAATATCTGCCGTTTGTTTGTTGCCGAGACAATAAAGTTTAAACTTCAATGCAAATGTTCCTACAAATGTAAAATTATAATGTCCAAATCCATCTCTTTCATGCCTCCAATTTCCATCCCTCATATTTATCCTATATTAAGATTCATAAAAACATTAAGCTAATGACCATTTCATGTTGCATTAATGTATAGATACAATATTAATTCTAATTGTTTAAATCTACAGTACATTTTCCGAAATACAGGTACCAATATAATTGAAGTTGAAGACAGAATAATATGTTGATATATATTGTTTAAATATATACATAATAATGAAAATGTGTCGACTTAAAAACAACATATTGATGTTATAGCCTCTTAAATATGTATCAACGACAGCTTTACTGTTCTACAGTAACTGTTATTGCCGTGATAATAAGTTTTTAACTTCAAAATGTAGAATAAAAAATGACACATTCATCTCTTTAATCCCTCTCATACTGTATCAATCTTGTATTAAGATTCAATAAATACAACGCTAATTACCATTTCGTGTTGTTTTAATATATAAATACAATACTAATGCTATTTTGAAATCTATAGTAGATAAAATTTGAATTATAGGTACATAATGGAAGTATCTACATACAGAATAGTATGTTCACTTATATCAATTGTTTAAATTTCATACATAGTTCTTATGAACTATGTATGAAATTTCTTATAAACTTCAAAATATAGTAATATCCCGGACTTACGCGATAGCCGTTTAAGTCGAATTTGCGTAAGTCAGAGTTAAACTTTTCATATAAACACATTTTCAATTATATCATCAATTTGTTCAGGATCTGATCAGTTTGATTCAACTTGAGAACAAAAAATATTTATTTTCGAAATATTTATTGTCTTTGATAATATTTGGTTTACACTCCAAAGTGTTTTTTGTTAGTTTATTAGGTTTAAACGACTGTGTACGTAAGACCATGTAACTCCGAATTGGCGTAAAACGAGGTAGCCTAAGTCGAGATATTACTGTACATATTTCTACCTCATTCATATGTATATAGTTCCAGAATAACTTTTATTGACATGATAATACAGCTTAAATTCCTAATTTTTGACACATACATTTCATTCCTTTCATACTATATCATCTTATTTTAAGATTCTTAAAAGACTATACTAATGACCATTTCGTGTTGCATTAATATATCGATACAATACTAATTCTATTGTTTAAATCTACAGTACGAATTAATAATTATAGGTACCTACATAATTGAAGTTTTAGATACAGACTAATATGTTCATTGAATATATACATAGTCCTAATTAAATTTTGTCACTTAAAAATAACGCATTGATGTTTCAACCTCTTAAATAAATATATCAACAACAACTTTATAGTTCTAGAATAACTTTTATTGCGTGATAATAAGGCTAAAACTTCAATGAGAATTTTTATACAATTGTAGAATGTCATATCTATCCCTTTCATCCCTGTCATACTATATTAATCTTATATTAAAATTCATATAAATCTTATATTAAGATTCATATAAAACACTACGCTAATGACCATTTCGTGTTGCATTAATATATAGATACAATACTAATTCTAATTCTTTAAATCTACAGTACATTTTAAGAAATATACCTATATAGTGGAAGTTTCAGATACAGCGTAGTATGTTGACCTATATGAATTGTTTAAATATATACAGTTCTAATTGAATTTTGTGGATTTTAAAGTGACAATACTAATATTTGAATATTGACAATTGCTTTATAGATAGACCTTTATTGACGTAATAATGACTTAAACTTCAATGCGTATTTTCTAATAATAATGATAAATAATATAGAAAGTTACACTAGAATAAATTTCGCGACGAGAACAACTGTTAAGAGTCTCATCGTCCATAATAAAGCCAAAGACTGTCCATTGTTTGTCCGCTATGTGATAACTACTGAATTGATTTTTATGAGATTTCACATGACTACTTGGTAAGTCTAAGAATAGGTTGTTATCTACTTTTTATACTCGGGACGTCCACACCCAAAAAAAATTAATTTATATTTTTGACTTATTTCATTTTCTTTATCAATCGATATTAAAAATACATACAACCTACATTATCACCCTTCTATCGTCAAGTTGAATTACATACAAGTTTAGCATCAACTATTAAAAAATAGCTATATTCATTTATATGGCATAACAATGATTGCCTGTCCCAGCTACAGATATGTATATAAAATACAAAGGAATGCTTCTACCTATGTCTGATACAGCTTTTGAAATGATCTAACTTGTGAACACAAACTAGTATTATTTAAAATTCAATAATGCGAAGGTAAATATAACCTACAAAAGTAAATATTTTCAACGTCGTCTTATCTTATTAGCACACATATTTCTTATTTTGAGTTAGATTATAAAGTATGCCAAAATATACTTAGAATAAAATTGATTTATTAGATATCTTCCATAATGATTGGAATATCATTTGAGATTATTTTTACATGGACGGTGTTTTTGTTGTAATCACATGTATGTATCTCCAATGAAAAATGTAGTTTGGAAACAATCAGTTTAATATTTTACAATCTAACATGTACGTGATTGTTTTAGTTGGGGATATATTTGTGTACTTTAAGCGCTACTTGACGCACTTTAATTTTGTAATAAATTTTAGACTTTTATGTTACGGGAGTAAGTTTAAATTTGAACAATTCGTAAACCCCGAACATTCATTTTTTTATGTACGAAACTAACATAATATGATAGACTTCATAAAACAGTAAATTAGAAGTACTACACATGTCTACGGTACCACTTTATAGCACAGTTGTCATAAAAAAAAAAGATTAGGTTCGTTTCAGATTTGGATAGTCCATTTATCGAATAAGGCCCTAGTTTTACATCGCTCTACGATCAATAAAGGAGGAAACACATACGTGTAATACAATTACATTCAGATAGCCTTTTTAAGTTCGTTACTGAGGGGGAAAGAGAAGAGGGAGGCTATTGTTATTAACGGGGACTAGATGCCCCATTATTAGCAATGTATGTGACATTCACGTCAGTCGATCTAAACCTACTTTCTAATTAAACTACATTCTCATTACATCGTCCTCCACTGCAGCCCCGCCAGCGTATTCAGTTGGTGCAGACGAGAGTACCTTTCATCACCGTCCATAAAAAACAAGAGCATACTGCATATTTTTCAATTTAAATGCATTTGCATCTGGGATTCTTCATTAATACATATAATACACTCAACAGCGCACACTAAACATTCTAATGTAACATTTTAATTTTAATCAATTCCATCAGACGCTATGTTAAAGAGGTTCAAATATTTTTATTAGTAATAATAAAAATAGTTCATAGGTTTACTATAGTACACCAATAGTCTTAACTATCACGGTGACTAAAAGACGTTACATAAAGGCGCCTGCCTTTGCGCAGATTAGTAGCTAAACTAATCGTATGAAACAGACTACTTCGTATTATTTTATATAATTCATTGCTACTGTGTTATTGTTATTGTTCGCAACTGTATTGTAATATAAAGCATTATAAAAAGCTGCGTGTTTTCATCTTCACTCATAATTTCGATACGCATATAATTTAACGATTCGTTACACTTGTCATCTTGTATACAGAATATGTAGATAAGCAGAAAATAAGTAGAAATTAGTTAAATGATTTCAACTCATATTACTTGTAGACTAGTGTAATTGGAAAGGGAGCGACCTCATATTTATGGTGTAAAGTATGAATAAATAGTTGAATCTAAATCTATAGTATATGGTAAATATAAAATCATTTGGTGCAATTAGTGCCATTTATCAATAAGTATATTATTTTTAATTTGAGTTTTTAGTAAGTAATACACAGAAAAAGTACGTTTTATTTAAATTATACAGAATAATTGTAACATGCTTAATAATTGCATCAAGTATAACTCTTTAAATTCATGAGAAAACTCAGCACGAAGACCATTCAGGTTATGGGCCCAATTGATACCTTACGATTACATACCCTAACAATAAACTAACTAACGCTACTTACATGTAACTGTTAATATATTAATGGATTGTCTATGAAATAATACTATAATAAAATAACCGTAAGTCGTACTTTAAATTCATTAATGAGTACATATATTGTATAAACATGATTGATTCATTTTGAAAATCCTCGGCTTCGTTATACAGTAAAAGTGACACTAATAGCAACAAAGTCAGTTCTTTCAAAGCTTTACCATGACCAAGCCAGCCGTCTTCATACATTTTAGATGCCTTTACATGCAGTGTGCATGAAAAGAGAAAGCGACTTCGCGCCGAGCTTCAATCTCATCAATAAAATTAAAGTTTATATTTTTTAATAAATAAAAATAATAATTCTTCCTCATTAGCAAATATAATAATATACTTATGATTTTCTTAAATGGAGTAAGATATAATTAAATTGTATTCCTACCTACGCTAACTACATGTGCTGGAAGAGCATCATTAGGCTTTAAACGACACGCATTCTTAGAATCACACAAGCAATTGCGTTCACGAGGCTAAACACAATATGGACAAAGACAATCACCACACTTTCCTTTTAAAACTTGCATTTTATGATCGCAGTTGAAAGAATAAGTCGTGTAGAAGCAGCCCTTACGGCAAGACTTTGTTAAAATTACATAAATTAATTATAAGTAATCATAAGTATGTATAGGGACTTTTGGTGTCTCTTTACAATAGGCATACTTATTGTACATTTATCAAAGTAATAAGTTTACTTCTCTCATCAAGGAAAAATAACACTTATCATGTTTAACGAAGCCGTACATTCAAAATATAAAAAGCAAATATTTTCAGAACGTGCGTTATTATGTAACTTAGCGTAATAATTACGTTAATAATAACTGATTAATAAATACAGTCACGATTTCGATAACAAGTGTTGAACAGTTTTAGTCTTATTTAAGAGATGGTAGTTTAAATTTAATTTACAGTAATTAAAAAAGAGGTCGTATCAGTTTTCAGACAAAGGGACTTACATCTGTATAGCTTTTAAAAAGTAACTTATTTGTTAAAAAATAAAGTCTATTTAAGCCATTAACTATTCGAGCTATAAAAACTATTTTCGAAGTACGAAATGTTTTATATTAAATATATTGTAATTAGTGAATTTATTGTGGTTATGTTCGACATTCAGTAAGAATATTAAAGACAAGCGATATTAATCTATTCTCAATTTGATCAAAGACTTTAACATTAAAAAACAGAATATAAATGCGTGTGTGTGTCAAATGCATGGTAGTGCGTAATATTTTTTTTGTTGATTTATTTTTACGCTTAATTTTAAAAAATATTGCCTCTCCCTATCTACATATATAATCTAAAATTAGGCGAAATTTCGTACTCCTCCGTTCGCGAAATTTTTGTAATAAGGGGTCAAAGTTTTTGCTTCGCGAATTAATATTTAGATAACGATGGACATTTAGCCGCGATGTTTACTAGCATCTTAATCCCTACGGTATGTATCTTCTTAGATGAAATGTATTAATTTGGATAATTTCAACAGCACCGCCATTGTATTTCATGTTCATATATTCTTTAGCACCTATATATAGGCCAATGTCAACACTGGTCACACGTGTCACCTTGTCGTACTAAATATTATCACATCCTCAAAACCTTTGGAATTGCAATTTGCAAGACTACAATTATTTATTGCTATACATGAACATTTACGTTTTTTACACATCACATAATTTACAAATTGATTGTCTAAAATCAGTTTTCATATCCTACAAAGACAGAACGTATTTTTTTTAAAATAAAATATTTGAACAATTCCCACAGTGCCATCTAGACCCAAGCTAAGCAGATATTAATGTAAGCTTGTGTTATGCCTACTCGACAACCTAAATATTATATTTAAAACACCCAGACCGATACAAACAATCATACTCATTAATATAAATGTTTGTACCGTGCGAGGAATCGAACCACCGACCATTGGAAATGTGACAATGCTTCTTTATGACAAATCTATTTAATATCGCATTGTCTTACATACAATAATGGCATCAAGCTTATACTAGTATATGAATAGTGCAATTGTAATAATTAGGTACACAATATAAAAAATGTTACACCATCTGTTTTTATACCAATATTATTCAGTACATAATTATGGTATATTTTAATTTAAATAACAAGTGTATGATAGAAGTGATTATGATGTGTACACATGTATCACGAATTGCTTTTAGTAACGTGACCGCCTTATTGTATTATATTATACATATTGTTACTTTACATTAATATAGCATATTCAATTTAACACTGCTATTTATCTTGACTAATTTTGATAAAACGAATGCCATTACTAGTTACTAAATATTTTAAATAGAAAAAACAGACTACATTGACAATACTATCAATATAGTAAAAAACCGTATTATTAAATATGACAAAATACTAAATTGTTAGAATATTATTTATTAGTATGTTTTGATAAATACACTCATAACATCCAGTCGAATAGCATTTGATACCTATATGTAGCAGACAGTATGCTTTTTATATAATTATCAAATGCAAAAAGGAATATCACACAACATAAACTAACTTGATAGAAAAGGAATAATACTTAATTACTTTTTTGTAAAATACAGATAAAAAAAGTGTCGACTATATCAAATGAGAGCCTGCAAATAAGCGAACACACAAACATTTTTAAAATACACGCAATTATACACAGAGCCAGTATACACACCAAATTGAAATAAAGCATAATACAAAATATGATACTGTACATATATAATCATATTCAATAGAACTCATGATATTGAACAATAGTCTTCCTCAGCATAGAGTGTAAAATACTAAAAATATATAAATTCATTTTATTTTCATAGGAAGAAAGATTAAATTCATTAAAACCTAATTTAGAACAGATACGACTATATATTTTATCATTGTAATTATGTGGAAGTATAATATCATTACTTAATGGATTTGTTTTATTTTGTTTAATTCCGCTACTAGCATCTCACAAGATCACAAACATTCAATGCGGAAACATGATCACCAATACAGGAACCGTTAAAACCAGTAGATTCGATATAAGTAGGAGTTTGATATCTAGTGGAGAAGGTACTATAATACAAATCGATTAAGTAAAGACAGGACCTTCCTAAGTCTTAAAATTTCAGTAAGTAATATAAAAATATATAAAACATATAATGAAATTCAATATTTTACAACACACAAATTTCATTTACACAAAGAAAGTATTAAATATGTTGCTTATTAATAAGGAAAGCAACGGCAGCTGAGTGATTGTTATTTCGAGTGATTCACTCGGAACACATTCTGTACCTGACATTGCTTTCGTCAATTCGATGTAAACTGTAAAATATAATAAACAAAATCCGTATCTACTTCTTGGTGTTAGGAGCACTTTTGTTTAGGCGGTTTTCTTGTAACGGGATCTGAAATTAGTAAATGACATCTATTTATTTTAAGGTCGGTAGGTGTGTGACTGTGCCAGTGGTTTAGCGAGTTAGCACTCCGCCATACTTCCGATGATGTTTATTATAAACGTGATCAAATGTACATACAGAAGTATAAAATATTCAGTAGGATTGTACATTGATTTGAATAAAACATTAAAAAAAATTGAATAAAATACGTGGGTAGGCATATAAACCAGTGTCGGAAACTTCATGATGATTTTGTATGTTTGTCTAGTCTATAAGCTGCCAGCAGTTACAAAGAGATAAATATCTATCTACAATTTGTTTGATCGGAAATGTAGGTGCATAAAAGTAGATTATTGTATTAAATAAACGTAGCTCCTCCCAACGATGCCCCGGTTCGATCCCTTAACGCCTCAGAGTAAAGTATCGTATCCGTCAGGTAGGAGTTATGCATTGACTTAAGGAGCATCATAAGTCCTTCCGCGGTTTTGGAGTGCTAGTTCTAGTTCAGTGAAAAAAGTCGTTCAAAGAAAAACAAAAAACAAATAACTTTGGTCTGAGCTAGACAATATATGTAGTTACAGTCTCGGTGACTAGCGGTCTAGCTGATTAGCACAACACTTTAATGGATTTAACTCGTATAATGGAATTTAACTTTCATTTACTAAAAAAATAGTAGAATAAAAGATATATATATTATATATGTTGCATTTATAAAATGAAATGTATCTATGTCAGTGTCTAGCACGCGTAACAGCACTTCTTACCGTAGGCTAAGCGGCGCTGTGTTAATTGTTATGAGATTATTATTATTTTGGTTTAAGCATTTTTGTCTGTTTGGCTGTGTAAATCAAAGCTAATATGTAAGTACTAATCCAAGTATACTACCGTGGCTCGCTGGTCCTCCATGCGGCCGGCCTGCGCGCGCATCAACTGCGCGAAAAAGTCATCGTCGGGTACTGTCTTAGGACGCTCCTCGGGCTTGGGCCGAGGCAATTCTGAACGCTGGTCCTCCAAACGGGATCCCTGTGGATACATATCACAATCGCATTATAAATCAAAATTTACATAAAACAAAAGTCAATAGTCTTGAGACTCTCTCTAACAACTGTAGTTTGTTATAAGGCAGAGACAGCAGAAGCTAGAGGCTGAAACTATAGTTTTATTTTTTATTTTTTCATTCAAATATAGCAGCAATGAAATTTTCGAAGTAAAATTACTTGCTGTGCTAAAAAGCAGGATAGCTTAAAGGGCCGTCTACCATATAGAAAATATGCGCTAAATTTAGTACGAGTATATACAAAATTAACATTTGCATTAAATAGTAAACGACCAAGAATTGGATCGAGAAACAGCTGATTTTGAGCCTACTTTATGGTGAGTAGTAACCATTGCATAGATGGACAGAACCACATTGTAATCTGTTGCCATTCTAAAGGACTACGATGCTATGCTTTCGAACCCTGTAATTTTGTGAAATACTAACATCCTCCGCTGAAAAATCTAAGTTACCTGTACACGGGCGATCATATCCAGGAAATCGTCTTCGGGTTTCGTGGAGGTAGTTTGCTGAGGGCGGAGGCCGGGCAACGAAGCGCCTTTACTCTCCTTGCTGAGTTTCTTTGGTGCGGGACGCAGCTCGGCGCGTTGGGAGTCCATCCGCTCGGACTGAAGATCCGTGATCATGTCCAGCATAGCATCGTTTGGACTGGTAAGTAAATAAAATAAATAAATATGTATTATGTGATTTTTAAAAGAACAACCTGTTACGTTTTATCTTTCTGCTTAGATAAACCTGCATTCTGAATGAGTGGCAGTAAAAAAATACATACAAAATTGTTTAATATATTTTAACAGAGTATATAATACGTATGCATGGGATTCGACTTTCTACCAACTTAAAAAGGAGAATCTGTTGACAGTATAATGCTGGTAATTAAGAACTGAATCTTTTGTACATTTTTATAGAACTTGTCACTCTTGTATCTGTACAATTTTTCTAGAGGCAATGTAAACTATCATCATTTTAATAAATTTTAATATTTCTCTATTGAGTAAATATTTATTAAGAAATAATCACATATAATGTTACTGTTAACATAAAAGATAAATCGAAAAATCAAACTCAGCTGACTGATTTACCCTCACCCTCAATTAGTATCCTAAATATGTACATATTTAGGATTACTTGATTCTTAGAACAATAAATAATATAAGTTAATACGTACGCTATAGCTGGGGTATTTTCGTAGTACGCCATTGTATATCACACTATACCAAACAAAGACCTAATAGTATTGTAGTAAATATATTTATCAACGTTACACAGTGTTGTCTGTTCAGTAGCGCAAGTGATAGTATACGGATTATTTATCTGTGTAAGTGATTGAGTCCTGATAAGAGGTTTAAGAGTAACAGATAATATATGATCAGGTGACGTCCGCGCCGGTTCTCGGCCCGAAATAGCCTTTCATGAGAGGCACTAAACAATAAACAGATGCTTATCAGTTTGAAGTACGTAAATAATATGCACTTCAAATATATATGTGTATTTATTTAAAAAACAAATACACACAGTTCTGTCTAAATTAGCATAAGGTTTAATAGGGATTACAGGTGAATTACGATATATAGAGGTGCAACAAAGTTATCTGCATTCTGTGCGATAGGGCATAGAGATAAATAAATATCACAGACAATGTCTGAGAGCCGATTCATTGGACCAGGCTCATCATTACAATTCATAATGAGAAATAAGCAGATACCAGATAGGACTATTGGCAAAAAAATAAACAGAATGCTAACAAGCATCTTTGAAAAGAAAAAATATCATATTGATTCCTTATAGTACTTACCAAAGCGTACTGTAACCAAAGCTATAAGGCGAATTTAGACGAAATGGAATATTTGTAATTATAAAATTTTATTTGTATGAAAAAAATACTACTGGTACTGCTACACTACTGGTATTTTTGTAATGGAAAGACCCAAAAATATACACGCATCACGACGACCGTTGCCCGTATCAGGTGACTTGTTTATCGTATGAACACAAATACGGCAAATGTCTCTGAATATTTATTAGATTTATATTAAATCATTAACATCTTTAAACTAATGACTCTATTCGTGATATGAAAATACTTGGTAGGTAGTGAAATATGGACGATCAAACTATTTTTTTGGATAAAATTAAATTGCTTTAATTGCTCTATAGTTGTCATGTGATCTAGTAATTTCACTGCCTAATCTACCATATTTCGGTTGTAGGGTGAAGATTAAGCAGAAGCACGAAGCTTACAAAAACAAGCGGCTTGGCGGCTGAAATAGTTGAGACTAAGGTACGAACGCAGACGACTTTTGCGCGATTATTGTCACCTCACCACTATAGCATTATGTACACTGGGGTGTGGTGTTCCTACTAATTTATTTGTTTTCTGTATTATTTAGTAGTGATTATACAGGTGAAATGATTGTTCTGCATTATAAGTTTATTTGAACATGTCCAAGGTTTGCATACATGCTATTAAAAACTAAAACTAACGAAACTCAAAGCGGAGTCTTTACATTGAACTTAAATTTATGTTGTGTGGAGTCATAATCAAATAGAAGAGTGCTGAGTGAAGACATTTACAATTGTAGACATCATAACATTATAATTTGACACTAACCTTGAGTTTTTGTTTCCGCTGCTGGCCGACCGCTGCAGCTTGTTGTTGGGCTTGGGTTTGGGCCTGTTCTCTTTGTTTGCGTTGAGCGTTGCGCGCTGCTCGTCCATTCTCTCCGACTGGCATCGGCTCAGAAGGTCGAAGAAAGAGTCCACCGGGTTCTCCTCGGACTCTGTCCTAACCACCTCACGTTTCTTCTCCATTTCTATTTCGGCTTCAGTCTTCTTGCTGTCTGGTGTTATCTGAACATAAAATGTTAATTATAAATAACATTCCACTGCTATTGATAATCAAAAACATGGAATATTATGTAGATTGTATATAGTTGGGAAATATTAGCCTATATCTACTAAATATCCACCATAATCAAACTTATATACTACAAACAGCTGTACAACTGTAACATCCTCAACAATTGCAGCCTCTCTTGTAAAGAGAGGAGGTCTTAACAAGAAGACAACTTACTCATCGCACCTAATTTGATAATGATGTTATAAAAAAAATGTTATTTAACAAAATATCATAAATTTATGTAAAGAACAATTTTTGTAACGACTACAAAGTTGTAAATTGAAAATTGTAAATTAATGAATGAATAAAGATTATTATTATTATACAAACAGTACTTGCATATTAAAAAGACGTACCTATTTATATGAATTGCCTATTATCCGTAATACAAGCTCTGACTAGGGTATAGATGGACACAAAATATAATCTGAGATATTATTATTATATCCATACCTGTATTAGCGATAGTTGTTCCATGCTCTGTCGACGAACACGCAAGGCGTTGAAGGGAGTTCGCGGCGTCCTATCCTCGTCAATAGGAGGCGCGGGAGGGGACTCCACCTCAACTGGCATCCCTAGCACCTTACGAAGGTCGCTGATGTTCATCTGGGCCGTAGCCATGCCCAGCACATCACCAAGCTGGAGAACATAGAAATTATTTATAGATACTAGTGGTCTAAATACGTGATTCGTTATAAGTGAGTTTAATTGATAGACCATTATTAAGTTTATGTTGTAAAATATTATGCGTGTATGTGTTATACGCGTAATTAAGAAAAAATACTAGCAGGTATACACATCCAGTAGCGGCGTTCAGATTTCCACACTAAATTTAGTATTTGTGTGGTTGATGGTAATAACATTATTCTATTACTTAATTACACACTCGGAATTAAACACAATAATATAAATCCATTATAATACTAATATCTCAGTATAGTTCACCCATTGGTACTAGTCAACTGATGTAAATAAATATATTATATATATAGGAATGACTCAGCCTGATACAAAGAAACATACTTATGAATACAAAAGTTTGTACTGTGCGAGGAATCAAACTCGTGACCATCGGAAGTAAAGCAATGTCTAAATTGCTAGACGAGGTCTTCAATGTCAATTTTTCGAGTTAAAGTAAAGTATTACAGTGTGTTATATAAAAGAATATTTATTGAAAGGAAATCGTTACCTCTTTTGATATATTGTAATGTTCGTTTGCATAATAGAGCGCCTTCTCGTGGTTCCCAAGCGCCGCATGTGCATTCCCCAGAGACCAGCAAGCGCGGCCTTCTCCCACTCTGTCCTGGAGCTTCCTGGCGGCAGTCAGATGCCGCGCATGGTACTCCTCGGCGATTCTGTACTCCCTCAGAAGGGTGTAGGTGTTCCCGAGAGAGTAGCAGGCCTGTGCTTCAACTGCCGCATCGCCTAGGTCCTCAGCAAGTGCCAGCGTTCGTCTGTTAATTATAACATTAACAATTGTCGATACACTTGATGGAAGTAGGTGTTATTTTACGGAGGTACATTTCACTACTTAACGGATTTATATTAATTTGTTTAATTCCACTAATTGAGGGATCACAAATATTCAGCAACTCAGCTGCCGCAGTTTGGTAGCCGAACAGTCAACACTAGGCTTCCAAGCTATATCCGAACTCTATTCAATACCTGATGATGGCTCGTTTGGAGTCGAAATACGTATCTCGATATGGGTGCACTGCAGACTCAATCACGGTCGGAATTTGATCACCAAAAGGAAAGGTCGTAATGTATCTATTAAAAATAATAAAGTTTCTGCACTGATTATTTGTGGTCGATCATATAGTAATGATAGTGGAAGTAAACAAAAAAATATATGTCCATTGAGTAGTGTTTGCGATACAGTACATTCAACCAAATCACGATTTTAAAATAATAATACCGTGGATAATATAAACAACGCCGTCTAGAGGAAGCAGAGTTCGTGTTATGGGTACTAGACAACTGATTGAAATACTTAAAAACATTTCTTTTGTTTGCATTAACATACATAATATACATTGAAAACATGCCGACTATAAAAATTACTCATAAATACAATTTTTTAATCTTGCGAGGAATCGAACCCGCGACCATAGAAAGTAAGCCAGTGTGCTAAAACGCTAGACCGTCGAGTCTATCATTTTTTTAATGCAATAACAATGTGTTAATATTTAAAACACTAAATTAATTTACATGAACATAAGTTGTTTTATCGGTTTTAGTATTTAAGTGAAGTAGATAAACTTTGTCCTTTACACTAAATAATTTCAACAAACAGCTCAAAAATTGTGACGATGACACCGAATTCGTCCAAATGCGGAAGCGAATTCATTCGGCAAATTGTCACGTGATCTTGAGTACTAAAACAATGATGTGTTACCGACGGGCGCAATATGGGCATGCTTAATTAATTCTTAGAAGGTTACATATTAGAAGATCATCAATCATGAAGATAGCAGCGAAGCCGCGGACGGTGGCTAGTATTGAATAAACTTAACTAATACGAAGAAAGACTAGACCAGTAAACCCGTTTTACTCATGAACGGGTTGTTTGTAAGGACTGGTGTGCTCTAATAACTATGACTGATTTATTTTGTTACATGAGTAACAAAATAAATCAGTCATAGTCATAGCAGTTTGTATTCACACAAAAAATGTTAATATGAACAACAATTATTTAAAAGAGTTACATTTATTTTAATAGTTAGTATTATTATTATTATCTATAAATTCTCTAAGTAAATATAATATACAGTATTTTAAAACAACATTAAGAAATTATCTGGTGTTTGACTACACGAGCGGAAAATATATAAGTTTAATTAATACCTTATCATTTTTTTAGCACGCCTACATTTTGTGTCGCCTACAGAATTCGCTAAATTAGACATAAAATCTCGCCTCATGTATGATAAGTACGCAATAATATTAGTCAAATGAAAATAAAAAAATCGCTGTTCAAATAATACGATAATATACGATTTTCAGTGTGAAAACCAAACAAATGTATTTTTAACATACACGGGGTCGTCATGATCCAATGGTTTAGTACACAGGTTTATAGACCTCAGAGGTCGTGAGATCAAATTTAGCCGATTGCACTCGTACTTGATGTTGCATTTTTAAAAATTCTCGGTTTAAAACCTATTTCATATAATGATTCTATTTTTGATCTGTGTCGACTGTATTGTGGCAGGTTTTTATGACTAAATTCGAAACAATAATATGACAACCCACGAAATTAGGATTCCTATATTCCAAAATCAGTACAGAAACATTCTATTATTCTTGGGATGGTTGCATCAAAGACCTAGGAACCTGAGAGGTACTAATGGTTATTAGTACGTCACGTGCACATAAAACTATGGTGTTTTGGGGTTCTTACCTCGACCAAGCGACTAATGTTTCTTCTCCCATTAGGAATATTTTTCAAGATACACTTTCAAGAAGAATATTAAAATTTATTTGAATACCAAAAATGAAGTCAAGACCAGATTCTTCTTAGTTAGAGTTTTTATTTACTTACTGATGCCATTTTACTATTTTACTTTTATATAATAATCATTATTTCAAATGTATTGTATCTTCAAAAGTTTAGTGCCGCTATTGTTACGGTTTGTCTCCCTCAGCAAGCAATGCCATGAGTTACGCCTTTTTGCTTCATTGTGGTACACATATAAAACAGGATGAAAGCAAGAAATTTATGGAATATTTATATATTTGTGTTTGTTTCTTCTTTTTCCCATAGCAAACATACCATATTGTAAAATGTGTATATTTAGTTATTAAATATAAATATTCAACTAAATAGTATAGCAAAATTGTTCATCATTGCAACATTCTAGGCATGTATAAGCACATACTTATAACATCAGAACCGGTGACTTGTGATATAATCCAAATACGTAATATAAGTAATTAATAATGCTAATGATGTACGTAAGCCGGTTCAATCAACATGAGTAATTGAGTACGTCATTATGCAATATATGTACAAGCAATGTTCGCCCATCTCTAGTTGTACTGCGCATGTCAAATATAAGTTTCTACTTTTTTTAATTTTATGTACTTGGAATACAAGTTGAAGGGTCACTGGATGTACCTTTTTAGATATATAGGCGACGATAACTACTTATATGGTGGGCCATCAGCTTGTTTGCCATTAGTGTTAAGAAAAATATTGTGAAGTAAAACTGTTTTTTATTTGTTAATTATTTATATTAACCTGACTACCGCTTGCTGCTGCGCTAACTTGCTGGAAGCGTTACGGCATTCTCTATTGATGATAATATTATTAAGATTATAATAATATAAATATTATTATAATAATACTGATATTGAGTCTACATCCATATTGCGACACGCGTTTGTCTTTGAACAAGGCATTATCAGGCATTGAATAGAGTTCTGATATAGATTGGAAGCCTGTCGCAGTTTGATTCATAGATGCTTCGTGCTTCTGAACGAGATACAACAAAACAATAGATAACAACGCACAGCAGAGTATAAGATACTAAACCCCTTAAAATTATATTTAAAACATACAAGTAAAGAAGTGTATGTATACAAAGTATATAGTTATTAGAGTTTATGATTGAGTTCCGATTTATACTCAACTTAAGGCAGAAAGACTATTCTGAAGTGTCTAGCTTTCTCTTCGTCCCCATTTGGCAAGAACGTAATCAAGATTTTCAGTATCATCATGGTCGACAGTATTTAAAAGTACGTCATATTTCAAATCGTCGGTATAAGCAATTTTTTAGATATATAATAAACAATATATAAGGATTATACCGCTGTAAAACTTATTTAATACAAGCTGTGCCTGCGACTTCGCAAGCGTTATTTCTGTTAATATTCGCCTATTGACGAAATTTCTTTGTGAATCAATCAGGAATAAAAAAATCATTAATTGTCACAGAAAATGTGTTATGGCTTATGAGTCATAAACGCATTCAAATTCATTAAAACATTTCAGAGATTAGCTTGCATGCACGCACAGCCAAACAGACAAATATCCTTAACACAATAATAATAAAAATATCTCAGGATAACTCACATAGTATCGTCCAGTCCCGAGCTAAGCATTTAAATACAAAGATATATTTTTTTGTAAATACATACATAATATGTGTAATAAACACCCAGATCAATTTAAATGTTCATGAATACAAATGTTTGACCACGTTTGAATCGAACCCGCGCCTATCAGAAGTAAGGGGGTGTGTTAAATCGCTGAACTACCGAGGCCAAACATAAGTACATGTACAAGTATTGTAATTTATGTATGGACACAAACATTTAAATTTGATATATGCACGATATACATACTTGTAATGTTCTGCTGCATTCTCGAACTGTCCAAGGAATATATGTGAGTTCCCGAGGTTGCTGTTTGCCCTCCTTTCTGCCGCCTTATCCCCAAATTCTTGTGCAATCTGCAAGCGCTCCATGTGGTAGCGAATGGCTCGTGAGAAATCGCCGAGGAGGTAGCACGTGTTGCCAAGATTGCCACAGGCACGCCCCATTGCTTGCCTATCTCCTAAACTACGCATCAGTTCGAGATTCTCTCTGTGAGCAAGTAATAATAACACCACAGTGAAATAACCAACCAACGGTATTCGGATTTTTGCATGTACTTAAAATCGCAACCAGGCTGTTGTCCCACCAGATGGAATATGACAACTTTCGTTATAGACATGAACTGAAATTTAATTACAGCGAGATCCCAAAACGTCGTTAGCCTGGGTATCTAAGTCTCACCTATTGTAGCCTCCAAGCAGCTTGCTTTGTAAGTTGTTTCTATTGTCATTGTTAGTTAACAAAAGTAAAGAATAAGAGGCACGACATCTTAATCTTAGAATAGCAATGGATAAGTTGTATTTGTAGTATTTTAAGATTATGGCTAACCATCAGGTGGACCTTCAACTTGTTCGACATTATTTATTATTAGATTAGAAAAATACATAAAATATAATTATTTACTTACTCATAATATTCAACCGCCTGCGTGAGACAGTCTCGGACCTCTTGTGGGAAATGTCCGGGATCATTCTGTCCAACCCTGCCTAGCTGCTTGCCTTGAGCGTGGTACACGTTCCCCAAGTTGTACAGTGCTCGACCCTCGCTGAGTCGATCGCCAAGTGACCGTGAGATCTCCAGATGTCGTTTGCAGCATTGGATAGCCTCAGCAAACTTGCCCATCACTTTGAGAGTGTTCCCAAGATTACCAGATGCTTTCGCTTCACCTAATTTATCATTCATTGTCCTATAGGAATAAAATTAATACATTACATTAAATAAATGGACAATACTCTAAATGTCTTGATTTAATAATATTTAAAATGTGTTCTATATGTATACATAATAATGATGATGATGATGATGTGAATCATTGCACCTATTTTACTAAATCTTTTTTATTGTGTTTGTTATTATCTAGAGAAGCTTGTTATGAAAGAAAAAATTAAGAAAATAGTACAGAACCTTACAAAAGTTTGCCTACTATATACAATGTGCAGAGTCAATATTCATAGTTTAGACAACTAGTGAAATATAAATATCTCAGTAGGTAAAATAAGTATATATATATATTAGCTGAGCTAAATTAACAGTATATTTAGTAATATATAGTATAACAGTTATATAGTAATATATAATCTTCTCACAAGAGGGACTAATGTGTTGACAAAGTTATAAGAAATAAGCAGTTATAGCAAAATGAGTATTTGTAATTAAAAGACAAACAAATATTCATTTTAACAATAAAGAGTTTAAAAGTTTTCTATCATATGATACTATTATCTACATGTCACTTGAAAAACAGATGATATAATTACAAAGTTACTCACCTAGCTAATGTCAGATCATGTTTGTGGTATTGCATTGCTTTGTTGTAGTCACCAAGGTAGAAGTAAGCATTTCCAAGTTGGCTGTATATAGCGCTGAGGGTGCGTAAATCATCTGTACCTGCCTGAATGGCAGCCTGGAAGAAAGCAACCCCTGCACGACAGTCGCCTGCCTTACAGAGGCGCTCGCCCTCTAGCGCAAGCTCCAGGCACATGGACCCTCCATCACAGCTCTGTTGGCATTCCATAAATAATAACCTTAGAACTGAGAATTAGAATTCTATGTGAGGATCTCACATAGAATAGCAAGAGGCATTGTCAACTGTCAATGGCATGATAATGTAATACATACTGACTTATTTATAATATAATATAAAAATATACAACCAATATAATAAACATATATATAACCATCTCAACTAAAATGTAATGGTCAATCCTTAACCAAGCAAAATAAATTGACGCTGGTGAAATAGCAGATAAAAATTGGTGGTTTAGAAGGTTTAAGTTGCAGACTCCACTATATAAGATCCTAAAATGTCATCGACCTTCCTACCCTAATGACCTTCAGCCATAGTCATCCCATAGATTCTCCAGTTCAGCCTTCTCCTACATTGGTGTCTTTACTCCCAATACCAATAAGGACTCAAGGTAGACTTTAAGCCTATTTCTAGCAATGTACTATATCAAGTTGACCTCCACACAGCTCCTCCTTACATTGCTAAATCTCTAGTGAATTTGTCATGATGGGCTAACTAACCCGATTTCATGTATGACCAATTTATCATCCTACATCCTATATTATGAAAATATACTGGAGGCAGATGCAATATTGCTTTATCATCCATTAAAAAGTGATTAATAATGTAAATTGTAATGAGGTCAAATAAAGTAATATTTCTCCAAACAACTGTTGACCCAGTAGATATATTATTTTATCAGCTTTATAATTACCTCTTATCAGGTTAATTACTTTACATTTCAATTTCAGATGAATTGCAGTATAAAATATTATATAAGACAATTGAAGGAACAAAGATAAATCAGATATATACTGTTTTAATCTTATTTCATGGTGGTATACAATCAAGCAAAATACTATATACTACAATAGTATTCAATATTGGAAATTCATAAACAATATTTTAAATTATCTTTATTTTATACTATGATAGTGGCAAATATGCACATGGCTCATTCGATGTTAGACTACTACTGTAGTCTATGGACGCCTAAAACACCAGGGTGTCACATATTACTTACCTAAAGATATTAAGAAACCTTCATATACCCTTTTTTTAAAACCCAATGCTGTAGTCTCTATAGTAAACCTCAGAAGGTAGTTCATTCCACAATCTTATTGTGGTTTATATAATCTGTATGAATAAGCAAAGCAAAGTTATGATCTGGTTTTTGTGTAATACACAAACTATTCCAGTTACTTGCTTCTTATTAGTAGCAATTATGGAATGTTGTTTCCAGTTCCGCTAATTGCTGTGTACCAGAGGAGATGAATAAAATATGTATTGATGTATTTATATCAATCGTCTAGCACCCATAATTCAACCTTAGCTTGGGACTGGATAGAGTGTGAATTGTCAGGAGATATTATATAAAGTCAATTATGTTAGTGACCACATGACAAATTCATGATGATTGAATCACAATGATCAAGATACAACCACGAGACAGGACTGCATCGGGGTTAATCTGTTGATATATTGTTAGAAATAGCAACCCCATTATACATTATAGTTCCTTTTTCATTCGCCTCTATTATTAAATTATAATTTTTACTTGCCCATTATGGATACTTTTAAAAGTCAAGTTTAATACATATATTGAGTAATTCAAAATTTAAGTCCTAATACCTAAAGAATTCATACCACTAACACATCAAGTGTAACAACTTTTTTAACATAGTCATTTTTAATTTTAAAAAGTAATCAAAAATTTTTTTATACAATTGTTTGGTTGATAATAGTAGATTAAATAGTAATTTAAACTACATATTTTATATTTTATTGTCACAAAATAAAATTATTGATTGAATTACTCACTTATAATCTTTCTTCCTGTCAAAAAGATTCTGTAACATTTATAGGTGTATAAGTTATATAGACATATTGTGTATATAACATTTAAATAATTTCTTGGTTAATTTTTAATTACTACAATAAAAAAATATTATATGTCATATTGTATATATGTATAAGTTTACTTGATTGAACATTATTTCTATCTGTTACTAGCAATTCCATCCTTTGTTAGACATATGGGTTACTAGAGTGTAAATCAGAAAATTTGATTAGAAACAGTAAATTCACTAGTAATATTAACTGCTAATCAGTTAAACAAATAACTAATGGAGGAAAAAATTGTTGGATTCTTCAGCATATGGGCGCAACCATATCAAAAGACGTAACTTGTGGGTCACAATTTCCGTATTAGTCCTTTGTTATGACTCATAATAAACTACTTAAAGCAAGGAAACGCTCATAAATACAATTATAATAAATAGCATCATAAAATGGGATAGCACATGCAGGCATAGACTAAATTAATTAATCACATAATATTAAATTTATAACAAAAAGAATTGTACCTGTGCATCGGTGGAGAGATTCTCGGCGCTCGCGCTGACGGACATCTCCGAGGCACTTGATGACAACAAAGTAACAAAAATAAAAAAGAAATTGAATATCAGTATATTCTCATACTGGGTGTTTTTATAATTTATGTGATTAATTCGATTTTTGGGCGTATGCAAGCGTTACAAATAGGGTAAAGCAAACTGTACTTTATTTTTTAATTGTAGAACGAAGGGGATACCCGATGTGAAAAATGCGAACTGTGAATCGATTAAACTTTAATTTTCTATTCGATAATAAAATCGATTCACTCACACAAACTATTAGGAGTGAGGGTTACGAAATAATTGCCCGAGCCAGTACTAGAGAATCATATAGTCTATATTTGATCTATGATATGTATATATATAAAAAAGCCATTATTGAATCCCACAATTTCATGAAACTAGTCGGATAACAAATTGTAAATTCGTTGTAAATTTATTGTAAAAAGTGTAAATGTTTTCTAATCATATTTACATGAGTAACACCTAGAAAATTGATACCTTTAATGCCACCTATCTTCATTTAATTAAACTGATTTGACTTAATTTTGCAGTAGTGTAGAAGCATACCGGAACAAAGGGATCGATCTCGTCAGACCACAAAGCGAGCGGCTGCTGGGTATTGTGGTGAGAACAGATGGTTTTTATATAGTTTGTGTTAATAAATATGTTGACTTTCAATCATCTTCAGAAATGTGTTGAAACATATCATTCAAATGTTTTTATATGCACAACTTCATGATTGATTGATTACTTATTTATGATATTAATAGAGTAAGTTTTGCTTTTCTGGAAATTATAAGATTATTTGTATTTTTCAAAGTTAATTAATAATAATTATGTAATATAATCATCAATCTTTACTATATAATAATCAATTTTTACTGTAATAAAGATGATTATCTTTATATCGATTCAAATAATATATCTACGCAATTTATATCGATAATATAATCGATTTAAATCTCAATATCGGGCAACCCTTTATATACGTTCCGTTTCATGTATAATGAAATATGTTAAAACGCATTGGAGAGACAGGAAAAATTGACAGAGAAGACGAATCATTTAAATGTATTCTATTAACATAAGTTAACATAAAAAAGCTATATTTAAAACATATTGCACACTGAACATTAAACTAGAAACGATAACTTATAAGTGTAAACGAGATAGAAAACAACTTTCCGTACAATGCCACGAAACTCTATGTTAGTGATTATTTACTTATATGCTATGTTATGAGCATTAATTGGTAAAGTGCGGAAACTATAATAATCTCTGTTAATTTATAGAAAAATATCAGGAATTTCATATCATATAATTTCTCAATTTGTTTATGAGCAAATATTATTTGAGAATAAAATTACATTACCTCAAGTGCTAAGAATCCCCATAGTAGAAATATTGAAGAAAATTTATTTATAAATTAAGTACTTAGTAATATTAAAGTTTTATTAAAGTCGCCATGCAGGTTATTTTGTATCTTTGTTACTTTTGTGGACGAGTTGAGATAAGATAGTGAAAGGATATCAGGCATAGCACCATAGTCATCTGGAATGGCAAGCATGAATGGTATCACTGGTCTAGCATAATAATCTGCCCTTCCCTAGTGCTGTTCATGTACATAGGCCACTATGTATGTGTGTAGGTTACTACTTACCAAATTGGCCGTCAGCTTGTTTACTATTCCGGCTATATACAATAAGAAAGTCCCATTGCTAGTCACCTTGACTCCACAAGTTTCCCCTTTTTACACATACAGACATTTACAAATACAGACAAAATGTAAACATTGTAATTTTTTTTTAGATATTGTTAATACTCACGCAGTATTAACATAGCATCGCATACAGTTATGACACGCTGATACTGCAGATGCGCATTGTGCAATATTGTGTATCTGTGGCGCATTACGTTTTGCGCGGGAGAAAAATACTTTAAACAGACTTCTTATGCAGACATACTGTTTTCTTGTGTAATTAATTTATTCTTCATACCTTACTTACTCAATAGAGTGTGAGCGATTAAGTTATTAAACCTACATTATACTAACCTGATTTGGTTTGTATTAACCCGATTATTAATAACAAGGGCAAGTAATAGAGACGGAACGGAACGTAAGCCAGCTACTGCCTACCCGATGGTAACGGGGCGAAGGGGATTGTTAGTAATGGGGACTGATGATCCCATTGATAACAATGTACCATGTCAGGTTGACTTCCACGCGGTTCCCCCTGGAAACCATCGTGATAAATTCCCGGTGAATTTATCACGATGGGCTAACTGACCTGACTTCATGTTCATCTTATCATCCTCCACTGGTGCCCCGCCAGCGTAAACCGTTAGCGCAGGTGGGAGCATCATTCCATTATCATTCACTAAAAAAAAAATACCCGATGGTAACCATTAGTAATCGTCTTTACACAACACAGCGTAACAACTAACAGGGCAAAGGGAATTTTTAGTAATAGTGATTGACCCCATTATCAGTTCACCACTCAGGTCGACCTCCACGTGGTTATCCCTGGAAACCAAGTGATTTTATTATAATGGGCAGTCTAAACACACCATTAGTGTAGTGCCTACGTAGTCTATTTTGATAAACATTTCTAATATAATATATTTTTGTGTATAATATATTTTAGTTCTGAGTGACTACTATCATAGTTATCCGTGAGCAATAGTTTGATTTGTTGTCAGTTTTCACATCGCCGAAAAATCACTATGAAATATTAACGACCTAAACTTCTGACAAAACTATGGACTATTATAAAAAACAATAAATTATCATATACCTGTCAATAAGTTTTAACATCTATTGAATTCATTATGTATAATAATGCAGTACTCAGTGCTGACACTGAAAAAAATATCTAACTACGTTACAGGAGGGATTTGGTGGGGGATTGACAGGGGAGGCGACAGGAGAGGACCGCCGAGGGGCAGAGGGGGCCTCGTTAACTATGCAAATAGCGCGGGTGCGGGCGGACTGTCGGCAGCTCACAATCTGATCGCCCACCACGCCCCTCTAATCGACAGACGAGTAACCTGCTAATGTCGGTGAAATAGATGTCTACAGATCTTTGTCCTCTGTGCGGACAACGCGATAATGTTGATGGCAGTTGGCTTTTAAAACTTGACAAGTGGAAGAACTTATGGAGCAGTTGCAGGCTAAACCCACCTGATACGACTTCAATCTTAGCACACCATTAGTAGTTACAACCTCTGCTTAGGTCGTCATCATTACGATCTTTGTGTGATGGGACAGGGGATCGATTCTGCACATATAAGGCCTATATTATTATTAACATTATAAATGCGAAATTGAGGGGCGAATGGAATTATTAGTAATTTGAACTAATAACCCAATTTTTTTAAATAGATGACAATAGAATGATTTACCCGCCTGTACTAAAGGTAGGTACACGCTAGCGGGGCACCAGTGGAGGATAATAAGATGGGAGTAAGGTCAGGTCAGTTAGCCCATCGTAATAAATTCGAACTCGCAGTGGTACTGACATTATACGTTGCAGTAATGAGGTCCTTACTACTAACAACCACTTTCCCTTTAATAACCCCATTGCTAGCAATATAACTGTCGTGGTAACGTAGTATCGTGGTGACCTGACTTCGTATTCGTCGTCGTCGTATCACGCTCCAGTGATACCCCGAACCGTTTGCGCAGGCTAGCGACAGGCTGTTAGCGCTAAACATGAAATTGAATTCTTTCCTTATATTCTATATATTTTTTTCGTATAATATATTTTCATCCTACTTTGAGACATAATGAGGTAACTGTGAGATACATTTTTATTCTCTATTATATCTTTTTCCCGTAACATTTTTGAAACAAACGCACGGTACCCGTGTTCCAAAAATGTTTTCTTTATAAACTTAATTTAAAATAGTCTAGGCATGACAATAAATTAAAGAAACCGCTAGCTTAAGACTTCTTCTACGTGACTATAATTAACCAAGATAAAAAATAAACTAGGGCTTTTCTATCATAATCGCTATGTACCTATATGCTAAATTTCATTATAAGGTTAAACCAAAACACAGAAATATATTCATTTTTTTACTTATGATCAGAATGCAAAGGTACGATGACCTAAATCCATGTAACAAGGGCGTGTTTGGGGTAGAGTAGAATAGGAAAAATAGAAAGAATTAGAGGAGACATTTGCCCGGGACAATAGATATGGGTTATAACAATAAATAAAAAAAAAATCAAGATTTATTTTATTATTACAGGTTAACGGAATTTAACTTAAATTAGTACTTTCTGCTTCTACTTTCTTACTCTTTGATATGGTATATATATAATTAGATATTTATATTGTCTACGTAAATATATACCTATCTACCCTTATCGCAAAGTGGATAGTATAGTACCTATATTTATCTCATAACTCCGTAAAATAGCAAAAGTATTCGCAAGAAAACTCTTCTAAAATACTTTCTACTTAATTTATTCGTCATGGTTGTGTTTTATTCATCTAAACTACCTGTTTTGTACAAGGGAAGCATTTGAGTATTGTTTATATGGATAAATAGAAAAAATAATGTATATTTAACTCGTATTTAGTATGAAAATCCAATAAAATTACGGTCTACCTAGTAGGTACCTACAATAGACGCGTATTAGTGAAATTCGATTACCTAGTCCTTTTCTGAGAGTAGTTTCCACAGACACTGAAAAAAATTGTATCAATCATAGTTTTGGGTACTATTACGTAGAAAGGTAAAATCGCCTCTTAATAGTTCTTCTCTCATATTATCTCCCATGGACAGGATCAGTTATATTTTTATTATATGTACTCATTTCCATTTATGGTGTTTAAGCTTTAAGTTGGCGCCAGACACAGTTTCCAATACTCAAATGTATACTAAGTCGCAATATGGCAAGTGACTTTCAGTTTTAGGCCATGGTACATATATTAAAAGTTTAAATAATCTTTTAGTATACAAAAAAAGGAATATATTTATATTAGTTAGATAGTACCCACAACATAATAATTAAGTGCTAAAGGCCAGGACAATTCACGTAACGCCACTTAGTCCTATGCAGGATTGAATATAAAAATAGCCCCTAAATATGTGGTTAATCTGTTTCTGAGCAAATTCTAACAAT